CTCGCTCGCTCGCTCGCTCGTAGCGTCGTAACAGCTTCAGGGCGTCGACATACGGCACGCGAAACGAAAAACAAAACGAGTGCATCTTCCGTCAAAAAGTTGCCAGGTTCATCGGTTTGCTATAAAAAGTAACGACTGTATTGTGTCACATTTCGTGGGCAGATGCACTCGTTCCGTTTTTTCGTTTCGTTTTTCATTTCGTGTGACGAGGCCCTCACACATCCAACATCCTTCGCGGAAGTGCGGATCTGTAYGTCGTAGTTTCTTTGCTCGTCCTCCTCTTCGGACGCCCTCACACGAACACACATGGTTTGTCGACGAAGACACACACACACACACACACACACACACACACACACACACACACACACACACACACTCACACGCACAGGCACACACACACACACACACACACACACACACACACACACACACTGCTGTGGGAGTGCAGGGTGGGTCGAAGGAGACATGGCTGGTTCCAGTGACCGTTCCGGGCTGCAGTGCATTAGTGACTGGGGATTCACCCCCGATTCTGAAGTCCAGGAATCGGACGGTATGCAGATCCCCTCCTTGCAGGTTGACCTAGCTTTTGGGGGGAGGCGAATCACCGCTGATGACGGTGACGAGGACCAACTGCGAGAGCGACTCCGCCTTCGTGCGATGGATATGGCTGGTGAGCAAGGTTTCTACAGTCCTCTGACGTCTAGTCAGCACCCCTCCCCTCCACGGTTCACATTTGCACCTAATTATTCTTATCGTTGTGCAGATCTGCCAGACACGCTTGAGGCCCAAAGAACTGTCGTGGACTGCCCTCTCACCCCCCTGCACAGCACTTCATCTGCCCCTGCTGCCACTGGCTCACCATCGGTAGCTTGCCATTCCACTCCAGCATCGGTGCGCAAGGGTGTCACGGGCATCTCTCCATCACTGCAGCAGGAGACTGGCAAGCCTTCCACGTCTCCATGTGTGCGCAATCTGCAGTATGGCAGCCCCGACATTGATGTGCGGTGCCAGCCAGAACCTGCAGGGGAGGCATCTCTACACAATCGAACTTTTCTTCAATGTCTCATCCATGCTGTGGAGGATGGTGATTTCGACTCGCAGGAAATATTCGTTCAAGGCCTTGACCAGCAGCACGGCAACAGTGGATCCACGCCACCTGCAGTACGTGGGATGCCTGACGAGGGAGGAATGCCTTGCGGGGTTGACATTCGTCATGTGGATGAGACGAGCACAAGGCATGATGCCCTTTGTTCCAAGCTGGGCAATGCTTCTGGTGGATCGACATCGATCTCGGTCGGTAAAGCAGTGGCTAAAGCTGCTGCACCTGCAGTGGCTGAAGCTGCTGCACCTGCAGTGGCTGAAGCTGTTGCACCTGCCGCTGCAAGTGGATCGGTTGATGGTGGCAAAAAGAAAAAGGTTTCCAATCGATGGGGGGAGATGGAGACGACAATGCTACTTAGGCGTGTGTACGAAGTGAAAACAAATATAGGAGAGAACTCCGAAGCCATGGGGATCGCTCCCTTGAAGCAGCGTTTGTGGCGGGACGTGAGTGAGAGAATGAAAGAGGCACAGTACAATCGAGAGGACGAAGACTGCAAGAATCGGTTTCACTACGTCCGCAACAACTACAGGCTTATTAAAGATCACAATCGGTGGTCGGACAACCAGAAGTACTGGTCCATGGATCAGGCGACACGCAAAGCAAATAGCTTGGACTTCATGATGCGCAGGGATTGGTATGATATTATTAATGTGCATGAGGTAGACAAGGACACCATTAATCCAAACAGTCTGACAGGCCCCGGCGCCGGCGAGCATAACGTGGACAACGTACATGACAGTGATGTGGAGGTTGGTGATGATGATGCTGAGGAGGAGGAAGCAGTGGAGGATGGATGGGCTATAGGGGGGGGGTCTCACACTGGTGGATCTGGAGGGGGGGCTGAACCTCCCTTATATGACTGTGCGGGAGGAGGGGGGGGGACTTCCGTGCCTGGTCAAGCAGGTGCGTCGACATCAGCGTCTGGAGGGTCGACGTCGTCCGCAACCGTGACTGAAACTTTAGGCAGGCGGAAGAGGTGTCAACAGAATGCACGTGAGCTAGCTATGCGTGCCGTGACAGGGGCTATGCGTGATCACACATCGGCACAGAYGAGATCCGACATCACGCACCACCAGATATTGCGTGAGCAGCTGACTATACAAGATAGAGCGGCGAAGCTGACATGCGAAGTGATGCGTGAGGATATTGCTTCTCGTTCAAGC